GTAGTAGTAGTAGTAGTAGTAGTAGTAGTAGTAGTAGTAGTAGTAGTAGTAGTAGTAGTAGTAGTAGTAGTAGTAGTAGTAGTAGTAGTAGTAGTAGTAGTAGTAGTATAGTAGTAGTAGTAGTAGTAGTAGTAGTAGTAGTAGTAGTAGTAGTAGTAGTAGTAGTAGTAGTAGTAGTAGTAGTAGTAGTAGTAGTAGTAGTAGTAGTAGTAGTAGTAGTAGTAGTAGTAGTAGTAGTAGTAGTAGTAGTAGTAGTAGTAGTAGTAGTAGTAGTAGTAGTAGTAGTAGTAGTAGTAGTAGTAGTAGTAGTAGTAGTAGTAGTAGTAGTAGTAGTAGTAGTAGTAGTAGTAGTAGTAGTAGTAGTAGTAGTAGTAGTAGTAGTAGTAGTAGTAGTAGTAGTAGTAGTAGTAGTAGTAGTAGTAGTAGTAGTAGTAGTAGTAGTAGTAGTAGTAGTAGTAGTAGTAGTAGTAGTAGTAGTAGTAGTAGTAGTAGTAGTAGTAGTAGTAGTAGTAGTAGTAGTAGTAGTAGTAGTAGTAGTAGTAGTAGTAGTAGTAGTAGTAGTAGTAGTAGTAGTAGTAGTAGTAGTAGTAGTAGTAGTAGTAGTAGTAGTAGTAGTAGTAGTAGTAGTAGTAGTAGTAGTAGTAGTAGTAGTAGTAGTAGTAGTAGTAGTAGTAGTAGTAGTAGTAGTAGTAGTAGTAGTAGTAGTAGTAGTAGTAGTAGTAGTAGTAGTAGTAGTAGTAGTAGTAGTAGTAGTAGTAGTAGTAGTAGTAGTAGTAGTAGTAGTAGTAGTAGTAGTAGTAGTAGTAGTAGTAGTAGTAGTAGTAGTAGTAGTAGTAGTAGTAGTAGTAGTAGTAGTAGTAGTAGTAGTAGTAGTAGTAGTAGTAGTAGTAGTAGTAGTAGTAGTAGTAGTAGTAGTAGTAGTAGTAGTAGTAGTAGTAGTAGTAGTAGTAGTAGTAGTAGTAGTAGTAGTAGTAGTAGTAGTAGTAGTAGTAGTAGTAGTAGTAGTAGTAGTAGTAGTAGTAGTAGTAGTAGTAGTAGTAGTAGTAGTAGTAGTAGTAGTAGTAGTAGTAGTAGTAGTAGTAGTAGTAGTAGTAGTAGTAGTAGTAGTAGTAGTAGTAGTAGTAGTAGTAGTAGTAGTAGTAGTAGTAGTAGTAGTAGTAGTAGTAGTAGTAGTAGTAGTAGTAGTAGTAGTAGTAGTAGTAGTAGTAGTAGTAGTAGTAGTAGTAGTAGTAGTAGTAGTAGTAGTAGTAGTAGTAGTAGTAGTAGTAGTAGTAGTAGTAGTAGTAGTAGTAGTAGTAGTAGTAGTAGTAGTAGTAGTAGTAGTAGTAGTAGTAGTAGTAGTAGTAGTAGTAGTAGTAGTAGTAGTAGTAGTAGTAGTAGTAGTAGTAGTAGTAGTAGTAGTAGTAGTAGTAGTAGTAGTAGTAGTAGTAGTAGTAGTAGTAGTAGTAGTAGTAGTAGTAGTAGTAGTAGTAGTAGTAGTAGTAGTAGTAGTAGTAGTAGTAGTAGTAGTAGTAGTAGTAGTAGTAGTAGTAGTAGTAGTAGTAGTAGTAGTAGTAGTAGTAGTAGTAGTAGTAGTAGTAGTAGTAGTAGTAGTAGTAGTAGTAGTAGTAGTAGTAGTAGTAGTAGTAGTAGTAGTAGTAGTAGTAGTAGTAGTAGTAGTAGTAGTAGTAGTAGTAGTAGTAGTAGTAGTAGTAGTAGTAGTAGTAGTAGTAGTAGTAGTAGTAGTAGTAGTAGTAGTAGTAGTAGTAGTTTGGTTTGAGTAGTATTTTGGTTGGAGTAGTAATCGTATTTATAGCGGCAGTTGTAGTTGTAGCTTAGGGACCGTCCGCATCATGATTATCGTGCCATGGTAGTTGATGGTGTACAACACACTTCAGCTAATATGCCGCTGCAAGATAGCACAATGTTGACAAAAAGTAGAACAAAACGTTTTTTTCACACGCCGGTTTTTCTCTTTTTGTGTCTCTTTCAATGTTTGTAGTATGAAACATGTGAATCAGTACAATACTGTACAATTTTTCCACTGATTCCGGTTGCGCGCTATGTCATCAAGTGTTAAGCCATTGGCAGTCCTCCTCTTTGGGTTCACATCCTGGAAGACCTACGGATCCAACAGCGGCTAGACACGACGTCAGCGATTTCATGTGCTGCTGCTAACTGGAAGGCTGACCACCACGCGCACCTCCAGCCAGGCGCTTGCCGAGTAAATAGAGCGCGACGCGGTAGACGCGCAGGTGCCATGCGTAGGACGTGACCGAGCCGTTTCAACTGGCGCAACAAAACCACTTTGTTGAAGGGAATACTCGCTTTCCCCAAGGTGCGACGTCAAATATCATTACTATTAATTCGATATTGCCGCCAGACATGAGCGATCCTCCTTAAGCAACCGTTATCGAAGGCAGAAATACGATGCATGTGTTCCACGCGAATCGGCCAGGACTCGCTCCTATACAGCAACAGTGAGCGAGCTGATGCGCTGTAAACGCGGCCCTTTAGTGAGAATGAGACGTCGCGACGACGCCACAAGTGCCTCAGATTGACAAATACTGATCGAGCTTTAGCGGTACGAAGAGAAACTTCTTTGTTGATAGTGCCGTCAGCAGAAACACAGCTCCCAAGATAGACGAAACGATCTACCTGTTCAAGTTGTGGAAGTTCTAGAGTGAGCACGGGAGCAGGTGAATGCCAATGCTTGAGCAGTACTTTACACTTCGATGGGGCGAAGTTGATACCATACTTAGATGCTTCAGCCGCCTAACGATCTGGAATGAGTAGTATACCCTGGGCATGGTCACTAAGTAAGGCGATATCAACAGCATAATCTAAGTCGGTCGCGCGCTCACCCATTAGAAGCTCTAGGCCAAATTGTTGGAAACCTTCTAGAGCATTCGACAGCACGTCTTCGATTGCGAAGTTGAAGAGGAACGGGGACATAGGGCAGCCCGGTCGCACACCGCTATTGACAGAAAATTGCGAGGAAACCTTTCCATAGACCCTCACTCTGCCGGATGTATGAAGGTAAAGTGCTCTTAAGATGGCGGTATGTTTCTCTGGCGCCCCGTTCGTTAGCAAGCTACCCCATAAAGCAGGTTGACCAACGGAGTCAAAAGCGGTACGTATGTCTAGGAATGCAACGATAGTGAGCCTGTGATAAATGTGGCGATGTTCGAGGAGTTGGCGGAGTGTGAAGATTTGATCCACGCATCCGCGGCCAGGACGGAAACCAGCTTGTTCTTCATGGTAGTATGATTCGCGTACTGGAGATAGTCTGCGAAGCAGAATGGATGCCAGTAGCTTAGAAGCAACCGAAATAAGACTAATCCCGCAACGATTTGCACATGAAGTGTGAGTGCGTTTCTTGATAATCGGGACAATAACTGCTTCGCCCCAAGAGGAAGACACTTTCTCTTCATGCCAGAATTTTGCGAACAGAGAGGTCAGCTGGTTAATGATCGCCACACCGCCGTACTTGAATAGCTCCGGAGGAAGTCTGCCTGAGTCGGCAGTCTTGAACCACTTTAAGCGTCGAATCTCGAAGCAGACTTCCGCTTCCCTGGGTGGATTCAGTGAGACGAGCCAGGGTGGACAACAAGGTGTACTGCATGTACTGATGGATGGTGGAGGCCAGTTGAACTGCGAGTGAAAGTGCTCTGCCCAGCGGTTCATACGCCTCTGCTGGTTGGTGATCAGAGACTCATTCATCTCACAAATGACCTCACTGACACCAAGCTTCCTGAGGCCAGTGGATAAGTTGGAAAAGCCTGCGAGTGTTGCCAGAGAGGGCAACGGTCTCCATCTCCTAAGCAGGCTCAGACCACCATGTCTCGCGATGCTTGCGTAGGCTTTGCTTGAGCAGCCGGTTAGCAGAACGGCGCCGCTCGTTGCAATCTGATTCCGCGGGGATATTTTTACGGCGTTCGAATAGCTCCAGAGAACAAGCAGAGATCCAAGCCTTCAAGGGGTGTCGAGTTAGGCCGCAGCATGACTGTCCGAAAATAGTCATCGCTTTCCGTATACAGGTCCAGTGTTGTTCCACTTCTTGCGGTGGATTGCAACTGAGTGCATATGGCAGTTAAGACTGATAGCTCGCCTGGCTAGCTTGCCGAACTACCTCCTCGTGGTGCCAGCTGGGTGGTTCGGGTGTACTCTGTTCCAGTAAAGTGTTCGGCGACAATGTTCCGCCTCGGTGGGGCACTGTATTCCAGCAATTATGCTTTCTTCTTGGGGAGTATTGGGCCCCTGTTTGGTAATCTACCAAACAAAGGCGCTTGAACTAAACATTCAGTCAACGCCTCCCAATGGACGCGATTTCCTGAATTCGTCCCGCTGCCTTGCGGGTAGGTTATTCAGCCAAAGGCTCGGGGTGGAGTCCCCTAAGACAACTCCCTACTTCGGCTTGGGCAACCGGGTAGTATCACGCCCTCTCACAAAACCATGGACTGTATTACAACGTACTCATCAGCTACTGTTTCTGCTTCTCACTTTCACGAAGCTTCACGAAGTCAGCGATCAGCTATTCTATCAGACATGGCGCAATCAGGCAGTCGTTGGTGCTCCTGTATACGGTTTCTTACATCTGGTTGGTAATTTTCGTTCCATTCTGATTAGGTCAACGCACTTCCTTCTTGCTTCCATTTTCTTTACATTCTATTTGCATTCTACCCCACCATCTTGCATTTATATTTATATTTATTCTTGCGACGTGAGCTGGGGCAACTGGATCGGTCATAATTCGGTGCGCGGATCATAGATGTTCAACTGAACTGAATTGAGACCCTTTCTTTTGTGCTACTCTCAAATCACATGTGTGATAATGTACTCTGCATGCCTTATCATTAGGTCACGAATGTTAAGATTTTCAGTCTGGTTGTACTAAATATCCCTTTGCTGCTGCTTACTTCATGTCCGGCACATTTTAACTCTTATCCTATTCCTTATTCTACTGAACTGCTCCTTCCATGTGTTGTACTGTTTCAGGAGGACCGTGCCCGCCACTTCTGATGTCTTCGGCCGGCACTCACCATACTGATGGGGACGTGCCATTGTATTTTGACGAGTTTGCCTGTGAGGAACCGGATTCCAAAGAGGACGCCGATGACGAAGCAGAACCCGTAGATCCCAGCTTTCTGCAACTCATCGATGATCTTGAGGGAGTTGATAGTAATTCACCTGACCTCTATTCCGTCTTGGGAATCGCTAAAGATGCCAGTTTGGCAGAGATCCGTGCAGCATATAAACGCTTAAGCTTGATTCTCCATCCAGACAGACATTCTTCACTGGAATTTGCGGATAGTTTTACACTTTCGTCTACAAGGGCCGTGGCGGCAGATGCAGAGGCTGCGTTTCAGCGTGTCTCTTCAGCTTATGCCATCTTAAGCGACCCAGACAAACGAGCCATTTATGATGCTTATGGTCACGAAGGTTAGTACATTTTGTAATTCTGTTCCTCTTGGTTATGCAACTTTTCACTTTTGTGTATGCAACGCCGACACCGATCACACCATAC